GTCAGATTTTCTACAACGGGACAGTCAACCAGTGAACCCAAGCGTCCAGTCCGTCCGTCTTCGGGGGTGGACGGGACGGACGGCAGTACCTGAGAGGACGCCCGGGACGGACGGCTATCTTGGCGTCCGTCCGGAAGACAGCCCGGGACAGACTGGCGGGCACTACAGGTGTCTCAGGTGGCGAAATGTGTTGTACAACGTGAGAAGACGGGCGGGCCCTGCAGGTGACTAGCGGGCCCTGTAGGTGACGGGCGGGCCCTATAGGTGACTAGCGGGCCCTATAGGTGACGGGCGGGCCCTATAGGTGACGGGCGGGCCCTGCAGGTGACGGGCGGGCCCTGCAGGTGACGGGAGGGCCCTATAGGTAACGGGCGGGCCCTATAGGTGACGGGCGGGCCCTGCAGGTGACGGGTGGGCCCTATAGGTGACTGGCGGGCCCTGTAAGTAATGGGCGGGCTCTACAGGTGAATGGAGGATCCTGAGGGAGATGGGCATGCCATAATGGTGACGGGTAGGGCCTGTAAGCCAGGGAGGCGTACAAGAACGAATCTAGTTTAACTGAGAAATTGGTCACCCACTTAGATACTAATAAGTATTCGAGTATGTATAATCACTAACAACTGAGAGCCCATAATATAGCCTGCATTTTCTGATCTCATTTGTGTGCTGTGCTATATAAACACTTAATCAATAGGCATGAACTGAGGCTACTAACTACCTGACATACTTATTCCAATATCAGACTGCATGCCAGTATCAGAATCACCCGAGGGTACACCAAATCCTTCCTGCTTTCCCTGTGAAATCCCAATTTCACGGGTCTCAAGATCGCAAACCATCGTTTCCACCTCCAATAATCTCGCCTCAGGAATTAGCCCTGCCTTCCTCCACGATTTCATACATTCTATAGCTTCGATAACCTCATCACCTAAGCGTCCTCGACGGTCTGTAATTAAATTCTTTCCACTATATTATATTTGTATACTGTTAGCTAGAATAAATTGGACAAGGTGTAATGTAAATCATTTCAGGTACCACGGACCTACTAAACACTCATTCAACCTCTGCTGACATTGCAGCTATACTATGAATCTCAAGGGCCATGTGTGACAACTGAGCCCATCGGGGATTCTTTAACCGTGCAGCCCAGTAGACTAAGATGTCTGAGACTTCTTCTGCCTCCTCCGTAATCTGAAACCGATCGAATTGATCCATGTTGTCATGGATGAGCCGAGCCCACTTTTTTTGCTTCCATTTTGCGAGTGTGTCATCGGGTGCTAAAATGCTACGTGCATAAATTTCTGAGTGGACTGACGAAGGTGGTCCAGTCATGGAACTGGATGGGGTTGGAGTTTCTATGTATTGCAGGAGAGATTGGTATTCAGACTCCCAGAGGTTTCGGCTTTTGGTTTTAGCTAATTCAATCCAGTTCGGATGATCAGCCCATTCAAGCTCAAAGTACTTGAGCTTGGTGTCCGGATCAAGGGCAACAGCAGCGTAGAAGGCTGGCAATCGATCTGCTAAACAGTAGTATCTATGAAAGTAAGACACTTCTTCTAATTCCAAATTAATTAATAGAAAGGAGTTTGTAAAGGAGACTGGATAGTATACTTATCAAGGACCGACCAGGCATGATTGATCGATGTTAATAAATGAATACTATAAACTGAGTTATCTGAATAAAAAACTTTGGCGTTTTCCAAATGCGCAAGGAGGTCATCCATCGCTGGCAGAACTCTAGCGGAGTATCCATTGGAGTGATTTCTACTAGTTCCTGTTCCTTGAAGCTGAAGAGTAAGAACACGAAATGGTTTTAATATAAAGAGAATGGCTGTCAAGTCTACCCAATCGTCCAGTGTGAGTTCATCCACAGTAATTTGATCCAGTACGAGTCCTTCTCTCTGGAGGGGGTGTCCAATACCCTGTGACGTGAGATTTGCTAAATTTCTTCGGCTTTTGGCTTGACATTCCTCCGAGATCACAATACCGACAAACTCATCCAGTATATTGCGAAGCTCAAAAGCACGATCAATAGCATCTGCATCACTAGACCAGCGGGTTAAATTACCAATCAGAGGCAATAGGGGGCCCCGGTAAGAGTCTCCACGAATCTGATGAACCTTTTGTGTGAATCTATCCCTGCGCTGTGGTGTTCTTAGGATCCAAGTAGCTATGTTATGTAGTTTACCTATCGCGCCTCTTTTCCGCCATTCTCCTAGCGACCTTCGCTTACATTCTTCATTGCGCTCCACATCTTGACCAACCTCTACTTCAAAGGCCTCCCAATCCGATCCCTAGAGAAAGGATTTAATAACGAGGTTGATAATGTGACCAAAACAGCATACAAGGCAAATTTCTGGCTTAAACTCGACATTCCGAAGGGCGAGTAGTTTCGCTAACTCAGCAAGAGCTGAGTCATTATTCGTTGTGTTGTCCGTAGTTATATAGCCTAACTTCTCTGCAATCTGGTAATGATCTAATACTTTTAGTACAGTTTCGGCAATATTAGCCCCACTATGGGAGCCATAAAAGCGACGAAATCCCAAGGTAGCTGATTGTAGTTCTCCAGTTTCAGTTGCCCAATGGCCTACAATACCGAGGAAGGATCGATGATTCGGTGAGCTCCATAAATCGAAGCTCAGGTGAATACCAAAGGGTAATATTTGCAAATAGGCTTTGATTGCTGATGTGGATTTATGATAGAGCGATACAACCCAATTGGTAATAGTTGAACTCGATTTTGGGAGAATAGTTCGTAGACCATTTGGTTGTGAAATCTATATATACAGGTAAGTTATGCTCTATATAATGAATAACCTAAGGGAACAAGATATGATAAAACAATTATAGAAATACTAACACAAGTAAGCAAGTATGATAAAAGGATCCGAAAGGGTTCATCCTCAACAGCAGTAAAGGAGGTATTAGTTACATATATCCATCATATGAGCATGTCCTTAAAAATATCGCTATTAAATCGTATTCCAGGAACTGGAGTCCGACCGAAGGCAGCTTCAATCTGAGAGTTACTAGCAGCCTGGCTTCGTTCAAGCCCACTATCGGGAAACTCCTTACTGACCCCATGTTGCTGAGCTAGATGGTAATTCATGTTCTTAGTTGATGAGTCACTATATATAGGGGCGCGGTGTGAGGGACCTAGGTGTAATTCATTCAAAGCTATTAACATATATAGATTCTTCTGTCCTCTTTCTGACCTTTGACAAGTTCACTAGAATAAATTATTTGGAGGAAAATACATACAGCGGGCGCATTTCCAGCGCCATTTGCCTTTGTCAAAGACTTCACTGCCATTCCCAGGAAACCAGCAGTGTCCTTTACGTGCCTTCTTTGGTGGAAGGTAAGATGTGGGGACTCCGAGGTGCATGTGAGAACTGTTGTTTTCAAAGGATCCAGGAATAGGTGAGATCTCATGACTCTGTCGATTGCTTACACTATTCAATGGTGGATTCATTGAATTCGATACATTACTACCCATAGTAGGGGTAAGAAGATCAGAAGGAGCAGAGCTTAGGGCATCACTTTCGGCAAAGTCATTATTAAACATATCTAGATCATACTGGTACCTGGAATTCCCGGAAAAGCCCGAGTATGATGGTAACATTTGTGAAATGGAGTCATCAGGCTGTAGCGAGCCTTGACTGCCTCCTGAGGAATGTGAAAGTGCTTCTGATATTGACATCACAGGCCTAACTCGTAGTTCAATTGTCAGAAATTGTCGGTAAGAAAACCGTGCTATCTGCAATCAGTGTCGGGAAGTAAATGAAGGTATGCAAATAATCATATAAGAATTAAAAATAGAGCTTAGGAATCCCATTTGAAGGCAAAGATATCAGGTATTTATAATGGGATCTTATTGAGAGCTAACAGGCGGTCACCAGTACCTCCTACAATAGATTATGTTCACGAATTATTTACATTCAGACTGCACTATTCAATGCCTTCTCAAGCGATAGACAACCAAGATCCTCTTGATGTCATGAAAAGGAGGGTGCGGCGGGGAATTAGTGGATCATACCAATCAGAGAAGAATAATGTACAAGGGGTGGGAGAGCCCTACAGGCGACGGGCGTTAATGGGGGTGGGCCTACAGGTGACGGGCGTTGACTGGCGTTGACGGGCGGGCCCTACAGGTGACGGGCATTAACGGGCGGACCCTACAGGTGACGGGCATTGACGGGCGGGCCCTACAGGTGACGGGC